CGACATAACCTATCCTGCTGACCCTCCCACCTTGTTCGCGGGACGTCAGCTGCACGGAAGCGGATGGGCGCTCGATTGCCAAGCTCCTATTGCTGGTTAGTGGGGTTTCTTTCCTAGCAATCCAGAGCTGCTGGCAGGCAAAAGAAAACCCTCTGGCGCTCACTCTCCGTCACGCGTGCTAGACGATCCGTCCACTCGCAATTCCTGCGTGAAATCGATCTGGTCAGGGAACCGGGGGATCAGGACTTCATGTTCATACATCAGCTTCCGACGAGCGTACTGTAATCCCAGAGCTGTGTCCATAATGGTGATTTGGGTTTGCAACTGGCGAATGACTTCCTGGTTCTCAAGCATTTTCTCAAAATCCAATTCGCATGGCTTACTTACCCGAGCCAGCTGCATATCGATCAAGCCCTTGTGCCTCACAAGCTCATTTAAGATGGCACGCAGCGGCGGGATCAGAGTCTGGAGTACTCTTATTATAGATCGCAGACGCTCGTTTCCCACCATAAGGCGACCCATTGGGCTGGCATACCGAACATCGCAGCGCGCCAAGTACGCAGGTAGGATCACACTAGAATGCGGGGCCTCCGTCGTTGCACAGTACGATAGAGGCAAACAATAAGAGAGGGCGGCTGAGCCTACAGCGGCGGCCACCTAGTCGTGCCACCATAGTGCCACACATGTTGTTCGAATCCGTTGTTGTTTGCTGGTGTATGCTGGGGTCGGTCGTAGTCGGAGGGTTGGTGGGTCTCTATGAGGCCTTCGGAGCTTCTGTCAGGGCCCCCATACATCTGTGCTCTCCTACGCTCTCGACATCGCTGGGCCAGTTCGTGGGTCTCCCGGAATCTGTCGCTGTTCTCAATATTTGATCTCACGCTGTCGAGTCTCCGAGGGCCCATACTTATGCCGTTGCAATCTTTTCAAGGTCGGAGCAAGGGGGCCAAGGAACAGGAGGAAGGCCCGAGGTCCGACTGCGAGAGAGCGTCTCTTCCTCTCTCCCTTCAAAACATTCTGCAACAGAAGAGGCAGAAGGAGCGGTGCCGAGCCCTACCGTCGTGGTAAGTCGTCGTCTCTTCCCCGACGACGAGGTGAGGCTCGGGTGGTTGTTGCCCACGTCCTCGATGAGTGTGCCGTGTGGCTCTTGTCTCACCTGCGCCGCAACGTGCTCTCTACTGACATCACCAGCGCAGTCTTGGGGCCAGGGCCCGTCGCTTTCTCGCCGCTGATGGACTGCAAGCCGGTCGTGATGGCCGTCTTCAGCTTGAGCACCTCGTACACCTTCACTGCTTCCATGGCCTGCTCCCCGACCTCGTGCTTCGCCAATTCCGCCTGCAGGCGCGGCGTCGGGTTCAAAGTGAAGGAGATCTTCCCCAGGCGGTCGCCTGCGCCCAAGTCCTCGCGCTTGTACGTCTCCTGGCCCATGAACGCGAGGATCATCTCCTCCACGAGAATGTTGCCCTTCGAGTGATTGGTGGCCTCCACGAACTCCCTGATGACCTGCTTGCTGGAGATCTCCAGGGCGCCCCCTTGTTCTCCGTCTATCTCGTCGCGGAAGGCCCTGAGCGTCGCCATCGCCACGTGCACGTGCTGATATCCAAGCCCGTGCATTTTTCCTGCTGCTCGTGCCGCTTTCCCATATTCTTTGCCCGCGTCTAACCCCGCTGTGAATGGCTTGGGCGTTGCGGGCGCGAGCCAGAAGTCCCCCGTCTGGCGCATGAGATCTCGTATTTCTTGGCTGTGCTTCAAGACCAACTTGCGCCTCGCCTGGCCCCTATGGTCGTAGTCGTCGTCGAAGAGGTCCCTGCCTGTCCCGCGCGGCGGCTCCCCGCCATCTCCTGCTGCTGTAGGTCGCGCCTTTCTTGCGGGCCCCCCTGACCCTGCTGCCAGCGCCCCCCCCCCCCCCCCTCGCTCGTTGACTCCGATCTGCCAGGTCTCGCACGGCGGTGGGAGGATCATCCGCTCGCTCGAGTACGCTCTCTGGTCCAACGTGGCGCTCACGCGCGTGCAACTGAAAAGAGTGCAAGTCATGGGCCACATGATCACAGATGCTACATGTCAAAACCTCTGGTGTCATTACTTCATGTGCCCATTTTGAGTCGTCAATGCGGCAAACCCCGCGTCGATCACACGCTCGCTGAACGTGGTCAATCGCTGGATTCCTCTTGTTAAATACGCTCATGCACCAGGGGCACTGGTTTGTAATCGCGATCTGGGACAGGAAGGTGTATTCGCTGTGAGATCCTCGTTTGTGTGCTTTCAGGGCCTGAGGCGTAGCAAAGCATTTCCCACGTGCCGACTGATTGCCTTCCGTGTCTTCGCACACGTAGTCGCACCAGAACGGTCTGGAAATGAGCTCATCCCCCTTCTCCTCGTCCACCTCCTCCCCCTGCCCGCCCCAGATTACCGTCGCATTGTGTAAGATATGTGGGGCGGTTTGTGTCCACGTGTCTCACTCTTTCGTGCCGTGTCGGAGGATAGAGGTCGGTCTTACGCTCTCCACACCACTCCTCATGCCTTTATCCACTGCTGCTGATGCTTCTGGGTCTGCTGAATACTGCTTGACCATTGGCGTTGATTGCTGCCCCGCTCTGTCCCCGCTCTCGAGTCGCGATATTCCCGCTAATCTTTCCATAACTGAGCTGCCGCGCATCGCTGCTACCACATTGCTGCATTCGCGAAGCTGTCGGGCCCACTGTTGGTACCACTTCAGTCGACGCATTCGCAGCGCAGTAGCTGTCCGAGGCAGACGCCACTCCCTAAATACTCTGGCTGTGCTATGGCAGCGTGTCTCCCCATCCTCCCCAACCCACGACATTTTACCCCGTGCTAGGGTGCGCAGGTACTTGCCTATGAGGGGGTCGAGCGCATCAGTGGCGGCCTGAAGCAAAACGAAGCAATTCAATCCGCTGAGTACTGCGCCATACACAAAGACAATGAACATCATGCGTTTGATGTCGAACGCCGCCTTCGATGGCCAGAAGATC